AAAAACCACATCGGCACAGTAGCTTGCTGGTAAACAAGCAAAGATACACCCGCAAAGTTTTTTTTTCCTTTTTCTTGCATTCTTCTCTCAATCTTGTTTGTATATATTTTCCTCACATTTTTCACATTTCGTGAGTGGTGTGGCGACACCATTCCATGGGGCTCTCTCAGCCCTACAAACAGAGGGCGGCCATATCCCCGAAGTCAGACCTGCAGTCCCACCCGCTCTACCAGTAGGGCTGGAGGCCAGGGGAGAGGGTGGGACCCTGGACCTCAGGGCATACTCACGCTAGGACTTTTTCTACAAAGTTCTGGACCTAATCGCCGTCAGATTCGTCCTAGTCCAGCGGCAATTGCTCAGATGCATTTAGGAAAGTGCTACAGGTAGTGTGAGTATGTCCTCAGAGGAGCACCGATGATGCCCTCAGAGGCCCCACCAATTCAATTACCTGTCAAATCTGGACGGGATGGCCTTGCAGGCCTTTTTATTTTATATATATATATAAATATATATATATTAGTATTCCGGGAACCCCGTAGCAACCAGCCCGAGTTCAAGCCTCCAACCAGGGGGGCCGCACCCGACCTGCATGTTGTGAGCGCGAAAAACAAAGAGAGAGAGACCATGTAAAATTTGAAAGTACGGTAGAGCGGCAGGAACGAGGACTCCAGGCGGTGTCCATTGCAGGCGAGGGCTCGAGGCCGGCCGATCCGATGCGATCCGATCCTTTTATTCGTAACGGAACAGGGTAGGATCACCACAGGTAAGGCGAAGGAGGCGCGAGGGCGAACGAAAGCGCAGGGGGGTTTGAGGGTGGCTATGGTGCGCGTGGCGATGGCCAGTGGTTGCGCGGCACGACTTCTCAGCCCGGGAGCTGCCGTGGGCGGGGCACTACGAGCAGGCGTGCATGCGCGCAGCAGCGCGAGTCGCGCGCACCTGGGCTGTTCGGGGGCGGTCTTCTTTTCACCGCTGAGAGCGCAGTTGAAAGTCCCCGCGCATTTCACCGCCTCGAGACTGAACACAGCAGGTTGTTCCACCGCGCCACGTCGGACGGGCGTAGTGGCCATGTCAGGTACGCTTTTCGAGTGCTTCGGAGGGGCAGATTATGAGGGAGGAGGAGAGAGGAGGAGAGAGGAGGAGAGAGGAGGAGAAGGCGGGAGCTCAAGAGGATGAGGAGGAGGGAGCGGGAGGAAGGGCAAGCTGAGGAGGAAGATAGCCATGGCCCATGGGCAACAGGAGGAGAACGAGGGTCGGAGTAAGGCGAAGCGCACGACGGGGTCGGGACGAACAAAAGAGCCCATTGCACGACCTGTTTCCAGCTCTCTCGCCCCTTCTCACGGCTCGCTCCAATCTTGACCATGTCAAAACGAGCACGGACGTCCCTCCCCGTGCCCCCCTCTTCTGCTGCTCCTCCTCCTCTTTGAGGGCTTGCCTTGCATCGCAAGCCCGTTGCTTGTAACGTTCCCTTATATCTTCCCGCCCCAACGCCATGCTGCTCTTCACGTTGTACTACTACTCTTTTCTCTCTCCTGCTTCTCCTCCATGGCCCCTTCCCATCCCAATCGACCCGTGTCTTGTCTTCACAGTTCCTGCGGGACGATCATTATGCAGCAGCAGTTGGCCACTCAACGGCCAATGCTACCGCGTGCGGTCGTGCGTGTCTCCTTGTGCATAAACCTTGAGCGCACTCTGTCGTTTACCGAGCTAGTTGCGATGTCGGCAGCAGCTTGCGGATTTCCACTACAACACTCGATGAGAATCCTTAACCTTACAGCAGGCACGTGTGTGTGTGTGTGTATGTGTGTGTGTGTGTGTGTGTGTGTGTGTGTG